GCAGTATTTCATTCTATTGTATTCTATTCACTGTGAGTAGAAACCAACTTGATGGCACCTAACAACTGATGAAAAACAGAAGTCCCTGAATGGCACAAGTGGTTAATGCCCTTGGCTACTAACTGAAAGACTGGAGGTTCAAGTCTACCTAGAGGCACCTTGGAAGTAAACCTTGGTGAGCCACTTCTGAAAATCCAGCCATTGAAACCTTATGGATCACAATTCTATTCTGACACATGCAAGGTTGTCGTAACTCAGAGTCTAGTCTGTGATAACTGCTTTTTAGGGAACAAAGGAAGGGTAGGTGACTCTAGAAAAGCAAGGTAGGACTGGGGCTGTCCTGAGGAGGGCTGTGAAAACTAGGCTAAGAAGGTAAAGCTTTATTTATTAGGCTACAGGGAGTTACAGAGGGGTCTAAGCAAGACACTGAATTGACTAAGATTGTGCTTTCGAAGGTCATTCTGACAGCAATTCAAAAAATAGATTGGTGGCATAGATGAATTCGAGCTGATAAAGACCTAAATTCAGGCAGGTAGTGGAGCTGGAATGGAAAGTCTTAAAAAGTATGTAAAGACAATCCAAAATTAGTCCTAGAGTGTGCTTCGTCTTCTCCTGTTGTTGTTGTTGTTATGTACCGTGGAGTTGGCTCCGACTCATAGTGACCCTGAGCAGGGTTTCCGAGGCTATAAATCTTTATGGGAGCAGAACGCCTCATCTTTCTCCAGCCGAACCGCTGGTAGTTTCAAACTGCTGACCTTGAGGTAGGCAGCCCGATTCGTAACCACTAAAAGCGGGGCTTCTTTAACACTTATGTTGGGTTTCCCAGACTATAAACACCTGAGGATGAGCCCCTTTTCTTCATCATTACTTTTACTCCTACAGAAAGCTAACATGGCAGGGGATGCAAAGTTAGCTCTTGTCTCCCTGGGCTCTGCTGCCACATCTCCCCAGTCCCTCAGAGGTGTTAGCACACTGCTGCATTCCCTATTACAGTCACATGGAAAATAGTAAGGAGATACATGACAACAACCGTAATTTAGTACAATCCAAATATAAAAGCACAGCACAGGCGACTGGAGAGAATAACACAGAATTTTAAGACCTAGAGAAACCAGTTTGGGGCCCCTCAAAAACAAATATTCAACACCATGAGCCCTAGAAGCAGAAGGGATTGCAGTTGAACAATGGTGAGCTCTCCACATGGGTAGCTTTCAATTTCACAACCTGTTTGGGAAATAACGAGAGACCACATCTCAAAAATATGAGTAAAGCCTGGAGCTAACAGACCTTCTGTGGGGCGTGGGGCTCTTTTGAAAATTCCCAGGAAATTGGCACTTGAAGTGGGGCAAGGTGTGTTTGTGCTCCGTGGAAGAGAGGCAGGAAATGGAGAAGGTGACACAGGGCTTTAAAACACAAAAACAAAAACCTTCTCCTGGCTTCAAAACTTGCCTTGAGATGTATGCTTCATGGACAGCTCCTCCATTTCTTTCACTCCTTCTAAACCATGCTGTGTGGCTGACAGGAACATCAACTACTTTACAAAGGAGACTGCCAAGTGGGTGCCTGGCACTGGAAGATATGGATTCCAATTCTGGCATTGCTATTTGTTAGTTGCATGCCTGCAGGCAAGTGTCTAACATCACTAAGCTCTTGTCTCCTTGTCTGTAAAATGGAAACCGTCATCACAGCCATGCATAGGCCAAAGGGAGGACTGGGATTATGCACAGACACAAATAAAAGAGACAATAATGGCGATGGGCTTGTTTTCCTTTTCCCTTCCTTGAACTGGAACTGGAATTTGGTGAGGAGAGGACCAGGCTCTAAGATTGGACACACACCCAAACTGCTGAAAAAACGCAGAGTCCCACAACAGTTAGCTTAATATTTTCTGGGTGCAAGAAAAGGTACATTTCAAGACAGCTCTGGCTAGCTGTTGTTAGGTACTGTTAAGTCAGTTCTGAGTCATAGTGACCCTATGTAAAACAGAAAGACACAATGCCCAGTCCTGTACCATCTTTACAATTTTTTCTATGTTTGAGCCCACTGCTACAGCCACTATGTCAATCCATCGCATTGAGGGTCTTCCACTTTGTCACTTTACCAAGCATGATGCTCCTCTCTATAGACTGGTCCCTCCTGGTAATATGTCCAAAGTAAGAATGGTCACTTCTAAGAAGCATCTGGCTATACTTTCTCCGAGAGATTTGTTTGTTCTTCTGGAACATTGGAATATTCAATATTCTTTACCAACACCTTAATTCAAAGGCATCTATTCTTCTCTGGTCTTCCTTATTCTTTGTCCAGCTTTCACATGCATGTAAGGGGACTGAAAATACTAGCCCTTGGGTCAGGCAGACCTTAGTTTTCAAAGTGACATCTTAGCATTTTTATAGAGATCTTTTGCAGTAATTTATTTGATGCAATGTGACTAGCCAACCGAATTGTCTCTTTTTACTTTCTAGTCCCAAGTGAAAAATGGCAGAGAGTGGGAGAAGTGCTTTTCAATTCGCTTTTCTTAAATTGGTCCCTTGTTGCTCCGCTGTATCTATTCTGCCAGTTTCCAGATGTTGCTTACCTTTTTGTTTATTTTCTTAAAAAAACATCTTAGAGATCTACCAATAGTCTAACTTAGAGGATGGAGAGTCTATAGGTTCAAGATTCATGGTTCTCAGGCCAATAACTATATGGGCTTACTTAAGAGGACTTTTACTGATTTTAAAATGAGATTTGATTGCGGCTTCCACCTGCCTTGGTGGCCTTTCTGCAATGTTTGAAGAGCCACAGTGCATATAGGTTTGCTGAATAAATGAATGAACAAAGTCAACCAAAAGGAAAACAGACATTAACATACACATAACACTGACTCCTTCTAATACACATCACTTCCAGGATCCAGGGGTGTGATACAGTCAGCAAGAAGCATGCTTTCTTTTCTCCTAAGAAAAAGGAAGCTAAGGTTCCAACCCAGTTGTAATTTCTTCAGGTTTACACTCTTGGGAAGGAGCCCTGGTAGTGTAGTGGTTATGAATCAGGCTGCTAACTTCAGGGTCAACGGTTCGAAACTACCAGCTGTTCCATGGGAGAAAGATGAGGCTTTCTGCTCCTGTAAAGATTTACAGCCTCAGAAACCCCGTATAGGGTCGCTATGAGTTGGAACCAACTCCACGGCACACAACAACAACAACAAAAACAACCTGCATGTAAAGGAGCTCTGGTAGCATAGTGGTTACAAGTCACGATGCTAACATTAAGGTCAACAGTTCGAAGCTACCAGCTGTTCCACAAGGAAAGATGAGGCTTTCTGCTCCTGTAAAGATTTCTAGCCTAGAAGACCCTATAGAGGGTTGCTATGAGTCGGAACCAACTCCACGGCACACAACCACCACTTATCACCACCACAGTTTTGAGAGTTCTACTGTGGGAAGGGTAGAAATAAATTTCTAGTCCCTTCCCATAGTATTTGAATGCAAAAGGTAAAATTAATTAATTAATTAAAATAAAACCTACTCATTTCTAAAGGTTTCCCTTTTCTACATATCCTCAGTCTGTTTTTCTGCCTGAGGTGTCTGGCAGTAGGTGGGTCTACAAGCCTGTGCTCCAAGGCTGCTTAGGGAAGTAGTGAAGACACAACCTGGCAAAAGAACCCTGTATATTTATGAGTTTGCTCAGTTCCCATTCAACTTTCACTCCCCACTGCCTCCAAATGTACTTTACAGAGTTAACCTAAGGTGGTGGAAAGGAACAAGAGTCATGAGCCTGGGTTCTAATATACTGCTAACTTACCATGAAACCCTGGGGAAGTCACTTCCCCCTTTTGAACCACAGTTTCCTCATCTGTCAAATTTAAGTATGATATATGCTGGGTTCATCTTTCAGACTAATTGTGAGGAAGCAAAGAAACTTGAAAAACAATTGTTAAAGTCTCAAAACTTCAAAAACAGTAGCAATAGCTTCTCTTACTTTCTAACCCTTGGTCTTCTCTTCCAAGTGGAGGGCAGGGGGGTCTACTAACTGTCCACTCTAAGATATATCTTCTTTGCCAGTGCCTTTTAGCTGCTCCCAAAAAGGAAATGATACCTTTATGCCTAAACCAAGTCTCTTAGAGCTAGCTGGGAAAGAAAGCCAGCTGCCTTCTCCTTGTCAAGGAAAAGGTGCCTCTACAGTTAAGAGTTTAAAGGAGGCTGAAGGACTGGTTTCTTGCCCTATCACCAAATGAACCTCAGGATTCTCATCTGGCAAATGGGGATGAGATTACCTGCCTTGTCTATTTCCAAGAGTCCTATGGAGAGAGCATGGATGGGAGGCAGGGACTGCTCTTACCCTGACCTAGAAACCCTTTCCTGGCCCTCACTTGGAGACAGAGAGAAAGTGTGGAGTTGACTGATGTTTTAGGGCTTTACCTCTGGGGACAGTGCTGCCAGCAGTACTGAGGTTCAAGGCCTCCTCATCTTGTCCAATGATGGCCTAAACAGGCAAGGAGATCATAGATTTCCCTCTGTGAAGGAGGACTCCCACCTAGAAGGCTCTGTTAATACCTGTCCTATCTCCTCACTCCAAGGAGGTAACCACAGGCTTTAAAGGAAGGAGACAGCTAAAGAAACTTAGAAGATCTACAAGAACAGAGAGGGAAGGAACTGGGAAAGAGGTAAAGAGAAGGCAAGAGATGCAGACATGAAGGTACAAACAGGCTGAGAGGGAAAGGAAAAGTGAAGAGACTGCAGAGAAACAGAAAGAAGAGGACAGACACTAAAAAAGAAGGATGGAGACAGACTGACAGCGCGGGAGTGTCGCAGGAGGAAGACAAAGGGGACCATCCTGTATTTTTAACTGGTCTGGCCTATTAGAGATGCCTTGTCCCCAAAAGAAAAGTCCTGAGGGCGGGAGGAGGAGGCAGAAGCAAGCAGTGGCTCCTCCGGCCCCCTCCGCCACAGCGCCCGGCCCCCTCCCTGAATCCCGGCCCCCGCCCCGGGTCCCCTCGTCCCTCCAGCTAGCTCACTCACCTGCCAGCGCCAGGATCTGGGCCTTGTGGAGCAACAGCGCGCCCCAATCGCGGGGGGCGCGCGGGGGGCTCTCGGGCCCGGCGCCAAGCTCCTCCGGGCCCCGGTACACAGCATACACCTTCTGGTTGTCAAAATCCAGCCGCGAGCGGGGGCTGAAGTCGCGCACGCACGACACTGGCAGCGCGTAGCAGACGTTGTCCTCCAGGAACCGCACAAAGGCGTACATGGTGGGTGCCGGGGGCGGGCCCCGGTCGGGCCGGACAGCCCGCGAGGCGGGCGCAGAGGTGGGGACCCGGCGGGGGGCGCCAGCCGTGCAGCCGAACCGGGGGCGGGGGCGGCTCCCCGGGACCGGGCTCCCCCCACTGTTATTGTTCCTGAAAGCACCGCTCTGCCAATCGGCTGCTCTCGCCTGGGCGCGGAAAAGGGAGGGAGGGGGAGAAAGAGGGGCGGGGGGCGGATGAAGGGGTTTGGAAGCGCACCGCCACTCGTAAAGTCAGACCCGAGCAATCACAGCCGGAGCACGATGCAAGTAGGGAGGGGAAAGGGCAGAAAGGTTGAATTGCAATAATAATAAAACAATAGCATTGCAGGAAAAAACCGCATAGACTAAAAGTCGCTCTGCGGGGCAGGATTATAGTGCCTCAACATCACACTGCAAAATAATTTCATTGCTACACAACTGCATTGCAAAGGACAGGAACAAGAGAGAATGAGAAGTGTGAGAAGGTAATCCAGTTTGAATCCCAAAGTGTAAACTTGAATTTGCAAGTGAACAGAATTAGGGAGTGTTTCAAATTTAGCCACTCAACCTCCTACAACCTCATTAGTTGGCCTTTTTTTTTTTTGTAAAACTGCCAACTCCCTCTGTGAGGAGGGTCAGTCTGCCAGAAAAGTTCCCCTAGAGCTGTCAAACCAGTTTTGATCAGAACTGGGACTTATCTGGGATTTCCAGTTGGACCAGTTGGCTGGGGTTGGTGGAGGATTTGTGGACTGCTCTCAGCCTAGGGGAGAAGTTGTGTCCCTCTCTCCTGTCATCTGCTTTTATTGAGGCATCCCCTCCACACATGCCCTTGCTAAGCTGGGACCAGTTGGAATAGAGCAGAGCTGTAGCTCAGCATTAAGGGAGCATTTTGAGGCATTAAAGAATGGGACTTCATGGAATTTGTTCTGTCTTTTCTATCCCAGGCAGAGACATCCGGAAGGGATTTGCAGTCCACCTAGACAAGACAGGAACACCAACCTAAACAGGGCATGTTGGACTTTGCTTTAAGGAAGCTCCTCTCATATCAGAGAGAGTTGGCCTTCTTAAAAACCCTTTGCCTAGCCCAGGACTTGGCATTTTGTAGGGACATTTTGGGTGAATGATAACAAAAATTCACATTCACTATGCCATTCATCCATTCATTTTATTTTTATTTTTATTTTTTGTTTCAAGGAACTAATATCCATCAAGTACTTACTACATGCCAAGTTCTGGGCTCGGCACTGGAGGTTAGAAAGGACAAAAATCGCTCTAATTCACGGGCTTTGCAGAATTAGACAATGTATGACAACTTGAGTCTCAGTGCAACACACTTCCTAGTCTTCTCCACCTTTATAATTTGTTGTGAGAATATAAAAAAGTATGAATAATTATGTTACAGTGGTTGAAGTATTATACACAGGAATGCTTAATGGAAGTGATGGATTCAACAAAATGGTATATATACATTTATGTAAAGAAAAAAACAAGCAAATACAATAAATGGACCAAAATGTTAACAGTGATTCTTTTGGAGTTTCTTAGTAGTTGTTAAGTGTTTTCCCTTGCATTCTTGTATATTTTGTTATAATTTTTTGCAATGAGCTGCTATTACTTTTATAATCAGAAAATGGTAAACATTATAATAGCAAAGCAATGTGCTCACATTTCAGATCCACCATACTCATGATGAAGTCGATAAACCCAATCCCCCAAACATTTCACTGTGGTTTGGGGAGTATGCTATACAGATGAACCCCATCAACACATGTTGCCCAGATTCAAATGCATAGGTTAGATCAAGTTCCTTTAAATCAGTTCACTGGTATGCACACAGTTTCCACCAAGTATGACCATGAGTCATTCTGATACAGATGTTGGTCCTACCATGCTCTACCCATGTGTGGAAAAAAAGAGGCCACTCTAAGTTGTTCATGCAGATTGATCTTTTTGATTATGATTTCTTTGGGCTAATCTTACATGAGTTTTTATTTTAAGAATACTTTCCTATAGCATACCAAGATTTCCAATAATTTACTAAATGGTCATATAGAATTGACCATATTTAATGAAAGTCCACAAAGCTGCTGAAAATGTTTGCAAAATGATTTCAGGTAGCATCATGACCAAACTTATTTCTACATCTAAGTGAGGGTAACCTGAAAATGCATTATTGGTTTCATTGCTCACCACCTTCCTGGTCACAACATTCTACAGACACATGAAACTATTTGACATTTCCCAAGACAACATGGTTTTTTAGGCCCCAAGCTTTTATGTTTGTTCTGCCCTCGCTCTGGACATTCTTCTTCTTGAGTGCATGGTGACAGCAACTAATCCTGAAAACCAGTCCAAATGCCATCTCCTTTGTAAAGTCTTTCCCAAATACCCACACTCCCCAAGCACGTTATGTTAAGTGTCCTCGAGTTGATTCCAACCCATAGCAACCCTATATAGAGTTTCCAATGAGCAGCTGGTGAGCTTGAACTACCGACCTTGCAGTTCAAACAGCTTTGCAGTCTGGCACATTAACCCACAGTGCTACGACAGGACTCCCCCCAAGCACAGGCAGTCTTTTTACTGTTTTCCCCAGCACCTTTTATTTTCCCTTACTTGGATAAATGCTCTTTGGGCAGACATAAAATCCAGTAATCTCAGAACCCCAGGTACCTTGCGCAGGGTTGAGGAGTTTATGCTTATAAAACATATGTAAAGAAACAGAAAGAGTATGAATAACAAATTCTTTGCACAGTTTTTCTTAAATGCCTATCCTTTTTAAGAGGTGAAGTTGAATTCGAACTCCCTTCACAAGTGAACGAAGGTAGAACATGGGTTCTACTTCCTTGGCGACTGATACATTCATGAACACATTAAATATTACTGCATCCTGAAACTCAAATCAAGTCTCAACCCAAGTCAGTGGAAATAATTCTCCTAAGAAGGTAATTCCATTTCCCAAGAAACCAAAAAGAAGAAAAGAAGAAACAATGGGCATGGATGTCCATGGTGTAAACACAGACTCTAGCACATTTTGCATGTAGATGCACAGAATGGATTTCAGAGAAGAAATGACAGACATTGGATGCTCAAAGATATACCCTTGGGCAACCTAGTCACTGTACCAAAGTAAATGGTTGATGTTCAACTATTTCAAGAGGTAGCATATCATCAAGAGCCAATGATACTGAAGGAAGAAGTCCAAGGTGCATTGAAGGAATTGGCAAAGAGCAAGGCACCAGGAATTGATGGAATAAAAATTGAAATCTTTCAAGAAAGTGAGGCGGCACTGGTGGCACTCACTCATCTCTGCCAAGAAACTTGGAAGACAGCTATCTGGCCGACTGATTGGAAGAGATCCATATTTGTGCCCATTCCAAAGAGAGG